CACTTCCAGGTGTCATTGTAATATATCCCCCCCACTTCAAGGTGCCATTGTAATATATCCCCCCCACTTCCAGGTGCCATTGTAATATATCCCCCCCCACTTCCAGGTGTCACTTCACCTCTCAGTGGTCATAATGTTATGGCTTATTGGTGTAGAGAATAAACAAGGGCTGACAAGATGTCAAAGCGAACTGTAAAGACCAGTTAAATATTGACTTCTGATATTGTTGAGATAGCGTCCTCTGGAAAAGCAGAACCTCCCCTCAAAAACTTGGGATGCCAGCCAAAGCTGGCATATATCAATATGATGGCTCCTATCTAACTTCACCTCTCAGTGGTCATAATGTTATGGCTTATTGGTGTAGAGAATAAACAAGGGCTGACAAGATGTCAAAGCGAACTGTAAAGACCAGTTAAATATTGACTTCTGATATTGTTGAGATAGCGTCCTCTGGAAAAGCAGAACCTCCCCTCAAAAACTTGGGATGCCAGCCAAAGCTGGCATATATCAATATGATGGCTCCTATCTATCCATATATCCATGGAAGGAGGAACAAAAAGACTTTGTCAAAAGCTGATTGTATTATGGCATTGGTTCTCAACTGGTGGGTCGTGACCCAAAAGTGGGTCGCGACCCCATGTTCAGTGGGTCACCACATGCCTTCTTCCACTTTTCTAGGTGAGACACTCCTCAGCCTCCCCCTAGGGCAGCACCGTCAGTTCTCGCGCCGAGCAGCCATTCAAAATATGCTGCCCAGTCCTGCATTTCAGCTTGTGGTGAGCTGCAATTATGGCCATAAGGGAGCTCCATCCATATATACTCATGCTTACAGCTCCCACACGTCCCCTGTAGAGGTGCCTTGACTGGACTGACGTCACATTCTGGCTCCCGGCACCTCTACAGGGCGTGCAAGGGAGCTGTTCAAACAATGCACATATGGATGGAGCTCCATCACAGCACACTGGACCCCAGGCTGAGGATCCACTCCAGTTCTCATAAGGTAATTCCGAAACGAATCGACTTTCGGACACGAATTTCCGAAAAACGAAATAGAAACGAAATAAAGCAAAATCCAAATCAAAACGAAACGTATTTTTTGCTGGTGCGCATGTCTACTATACATACACTTTAATTAGGAAGTCGTTATGGAGATACTCACTTATATTTATTGTGTTCGTACCGGTTGTATTCCCACGGACAAGTCCTCAATGTTTTAGAAAACTCGTTGAACACTTTAGAGTTAATGCTGTGTGGAAAGGAGAAAAGGAAGGAACTTGTTACCTGGAAACAAAACAACTTCTAGATTTCGGAGGCTCTCAACAAACAGGAAAAAGCAGTAAAAAAGCTTTCATAATACCTGACACACTTTATCTAATCTCTTGAGAAGATTACTGATGACTCATTTAGACATGAAACAGGTAAAAGGTTCATGTTTAAGAGTGAGTGGGTTCAGGTTTGTCTAATGCTGGGCACACACCTTGAAACCATGGCAAGACTTTGTCTTGCCATGGTTGTAAGGTACTTAAAAAAACGTACGATCTGCCTATCTTGCATAGGCAGATCGTACTTGCGATGATCGCAAGCCAAGCCCCCTCTGAGGGGCGGGCTTCCAATGACCGAAATGCCGAACGGGCAGTGTGCACTTGCGCCGGCTCGTCCGGCTTTTATCTTATGAACATGCTACACACCCGCCGAACATCGTACGATGCTTGACGGGTTTTCGATCATGTCCGTAAGTTTAAAGTCGTGCGACCTTACAGTAGTAGAGTTCCACACACCTTACGATAATCGTACGATCGCGGGATTTCCCGCGATTATTGTAAGGTGTGTGGGCACCCTTATATTGATCAATTGTGAAGAGGGGGGGATGGGGATTCCCGAAACATCGTTGCAAGTCCCACCCTCCCATTGGGAGAT